CTTCTAATAGGTTTAGAGTGACAAGCAGTTTTACTTTAAGAAGAGTATTTTTACACAAGTGAAGAAAAAGCTAAACGCAAGAAACCAACCAGAACGGAATCATCTATTGGTAGTACGAAGCGTTCGGTTTGATTCTGCAAAGAGAGAATTGAAAAAAATCTCATCTATTGATACTAAGGCAAGAAAGTTTTGTTCTAACACCAACGACTTGTTGATAAAAATTTCCATGATTTTCTACCTCGTTCTTCAAAGTTCTCGAGAAATGAGAACTCTCACCGTCAGTAGCTCCTACTTTCCACGCAAACAGCACCGCAAAGTGCAGTCATGGGTGCAATTTCGACATCCAGCTTGCTGCGCATGCCATGGATGCGTAAGGAAACGGGCATATCTCAGGCGATTTCTCAATAATCGCGATGATTCGCGATATGGCAATTTGTCAGATTATGCAAATCCACCGCGTGGGGAATTCAAGTTCATAGGCGGGTAGCTTTTGTAAGTTTGCGCGCGTATGCCAAATCTTGCTTTAGAGTACGAGCCTACGGAAGTACGAACAATCGTTGCAGTTAGAAATCGCGCATCGACGAGGTATGACCGATGCCTGAAATCGATCTGAAGTCAAAACCGTAACGATATATGTATATTTTTGGTGGTGTTTAGGTGATGGTTTTTTAATTTTCTTCTTTGAAGTTTCCAAATTCTATTCGGCTAGGCGGGAGGTGAGAAAAATGCCATCGAATCTCAGACTGACCGAAAAGTAGTATAAAACAGATCATCGCCAGATGGCCAGATTTGCAAAATAAAATCAGCTCCGGAAAGATTCTAGTATTGCATAGAGGGTGCGAATATGAGAAGGAACGCGGTACTTCATCTTATTTTTTGGGGAGGAAAATTTACACCGCGAGGTAGCTTGAATGTACAAACCACATGATCATACACTTGATTATAATAGAAAAAATGACTAGATGGAAGTTAACAATATTAACTATCTGCTGTCACCATTGAGTAGAAGTAAGCTTTCCAAAAGAACAATAATCTCTCCAACACGACCTCTCGGTATCAATCGCAGCTCACACCCAGGTCTCAAAAATATATTATCTCCAGCTGGCTGTACAGGATTTATGCCGATTTCATCGATAGCGATGATTGCAGGAATTGCTTCTGGTACTATAGGTTGCTCTGCTGCTAATTTGAAAACAGAAGTGAAAAAGCGCATTCCGTATAACTAGTATAGTCAGCATGATACCTTGAATGCAGTTCTTGCAAGCGTGGGTGATTTCCAATATGACGTTATCTGTCACCGGCTACGGACAGTTTACACCCATGTCTGTTTGAATTTGGGTAGTTAAGCCTTTTCTTACTTCTTTAATAACAGAAAAGTTATTTCTCTGAGTTCAACCTTTCATCAAAAAATATACAGCTGGCTATTTCAGCAAGTATCCCCTGAAACTTGATATGGTCAACCAGCGCTTATAAACGTTCCTGGAGCATAGTTCAAAATGGATGAGTAAACAAAGTGCCAACTGATAGAGGGCACTTGCATACGTTACATTCTTACAAAGTCGTTACTCCGCTGTTCAGCCCAACTACTTGTGTTTCACTAACAAGTGGCTGTCCGTGCAAGCTCAAGATCGGGCAAATTTGGCATCATTCCAGACTTTTTCTGCAATGACTTTTCATTGTGCTAACGTATTATGCAGGGTTAAAAATAATTGAACGTTAGACGTTTGATAACTTCCTTATATGGAAAGCTTTTGAGAACTTTTAGGTAGCACTTTGTGGAGCTCGCTTTGGCTTAGATCTAAAATCTAGAGGGAACACCGATCGCTCTTCAATACTGTAGGATTACGGAGAAAAAGCATATGGTTCAGAAAAAAAGCTGCCGTTTTAAAAATTTTCAAAAAAGTGTAACTTCTATAATAGGTTTTTCATAGACGCTGAGTTCAATAATCAACTACAATACTGGGAAGCTTTCTAAAAGGTGTAGCCGCACTTTTTAGAAACATTGAGAAAACGCCGCTACTGCTTGAATCGCATAACTTTTTAATGAAGCATTATGACGAGCTGAAAAATTCATTGCTAGTATCAGCCTTTTAGCCCAGTGTGGGAGTTCTCAGGTTGTTTTGTTCCCTTTCTGAGGCAAAGTATGGCCTTTCATGGCTCAGAACCATCTTCAATGTTCCTACCGAGATCCTACAGTATAAGAGATCAGTGGGTAATCCGCTCATCTAAGTTCAAGACAGCTCTCAAACAACTGAGCTTCTCGAAAGGAATATATAAGGATATAAAGAAGTTACTGAAGATCAAGTGTTCGATATATTTTTGGGACACCCTGTATTGAGGCATATTTTACTTGGAAGGAACAAAATTTGTTTAAATTGCGATTTTCACAATAAGTTAATGAACTAGAGTTTAAGATTTCGCCCATGGTGATTTTTGGACATGCTTTAGTTTCGCTACATCACTTATCAATTGACCCATTTCTGGGATTAAGCACTAATGCTTTGCGAGCGATAACATTGTCATGATTACGCTGTTAGAGTCTTTCAAATTCTGTGAGTTTTCATTGAGCCCAATATTATTACCGAATTAGATTTTCGCTGTGGGCATAGCCTAGTTTACAACTTAGGAAAACACCAAACGTATTTTGCATTCTTTTTCACCCTTCAAACTCTTCAAACTCTGCAAGGCGAAAAGCGTAATGAAAGCTAGAAATAGTGGCAATTTTACAAAATTTTGACTATTGAGAAATGCAAGCCCAAAATTTGAAAAATGTACTAAAATGAGACAACAATACTACAGAAGCTGTATGGAGAGAAATCAGAACCAGTCGAAAGCACAAGCTCATAAATTCATAGAGCACAAAAATGCTGTGATTCTATGATGATCTACTTGCAAAAAAAGTCCAAATTTTCTCTCAAGAAGCTTTTTCCTGGATTCACTCAAACAAAAACCATTCTATGGCTCGTGAACTCTTGATTTGCAAACCTTTAGAAGTCCTACCCGCACCGCAATAAGTTTTGAAGTACATAGTTCCTTATCGGGACTTACGGAACTCCTTTTAGATAGACCTTTATCTTGGAAAGCTCTCTCATTTCATATTATTTTCGTTGTTCTCTTCCTCCTGAAGTTATGGGAAAAAATTTGTGGCTAACATTTTAGTGGCCATTTTATGCAGAAAGATGTGAGCGCTCCTAATTGATCACCTAGTAAATACTCCGCAATAATTTGAACTTGACACCTGATATTGTCCTTTGTCACCGATTATATAGCAACACAGAGTGCATAAATTATGATGTGATAATCGAAAGATTGAGCCTGCACCATTTCAAAGACCTTTCTGCCATTTCTTTCGCCTTTTTTTGATAGGTAAAAAATCACGGAAAACCTCCGCAGGACCTAATGCTTCTTCGTTCCTTGGCATTCCTAGCAGTCTCTATCTCCCTTGGGCAAGCTGTTCATAACACCGTCAATACATGGAATGGACAGCTACAGGCAAGACTTACAACTATTGCCAGACCAAAAGAAATCTCCTATTGAAGACCTAAGTGACTCTCTG